GGTGGCTGGTGGGGCCACCTGACTCCAGACAGCCCTAGTGGTGACATCATTGTATAGTGTCCTCCTACAGTGACCCAGGCTGATCTGTGTGACCAGTGAAGTGGGGGCAGAGATCTTGGTGTGTAATTTCTAAGGCTGGGTCTCAGAGGTGTTGAGGCGTCAGCCTTGTGCCTTTGGATAGCTTGTTCTGAGGGAAGCAGCAGCCATGTTATTAGGATGCTCAGCCAGCCCTGTGGAGGCCCCCCACCCCAACTTCCATGAGTGATTCAATCCTCTTGGAAGTGGATCCTCCCTCCCAGTGAAGCCCTCAGATAGGACCATCCCTGGCTGACATCTGCCCATATATCACAAGAGACCCTGAGCCCGAATTTCTGATACAGATAATAATATATATTATAATATATAACATGTACTTATAATATATATAATATATATATTGCAATAACCAAAAGGCGGAAACTGTTCAGATGTCCATCAGTGGATGAAAGGATAAATAATATGTGGTCCATTCATACAGCTGGAATGTTATTCAGCCTTAAAAAAGAAGGACAGGGCTGGGGTTGTTGCTCTGTAGTAGAGCCTTGCCTGGCATCTGTGAGGCCCTGGGTTTGATCCCCAGCACCACATATAAACAAACACATAAAAAGTCCATTGACAACTAAAAAAAATTATTAAAAAAAAAAAAAAAAAAAAGGAAGGACAGCCAGGTGTGTTGGAACAGGCCTGTAGTCCCAGCTACTCAGGAGGCTGAGGCAGGAGGCTCACTTGAACTCATGAGTTCGAGGCCAGCCTGGGCAATATAGTAAGACCTCCATCTCAAAAAGAAAAAAACATTTAACAGGGACAGTGTTTCAGTCTGAGAAGATAAAAAGGTCTGCAGAGAGATGGGGGTGATATAACAGTATGAATGTATTTGATGTCACTGAACTGTATGTTTAAAAATGGTTAAAATGGCACATTTTATGTTATGTATATTTTTCTACAATAAAAACAACAATGATAAAACAGAGGTGTGGAAATGAGCTCTGGGGGGCTTGACTGGAGGCAAAGAGACTAGGAGGCCACTTTAATGGTCCGGGCTTGGGATGGTGGCAAGTGTGGAGTGAGTTAGGAGGAAGCAAGCCAGAGGACTTGCTGAAGGATTGACTGAGGCCTGAGGGAAGGAGAAGAGCCCTGGGTGCTGGCCTGGAGGAAGGGAGGGAGAAAGACTCCAAGGTCCTCGGGCCATGCCGAGACCAAGACTAGGGATTGCTCTACCAAGAGAGCGCTGTCAGGGACCCCACCTGAAGGAACTGGCACACCCACTTCCTGTCTCTTGGGATGCTTCCTCTTGAAACTCGGCTGCCATGCTGCAGGAAAGCTCAGGTCACATGATGTTTCCACCCAGAGCCTCAGTTAAGGTCCCACTAGACATACTAGAAGACACTTCTGGAAGATTCCACCCCCGGCCACTGCCCAAATGCAGTGGCATGTGAGAAACAAGCAGAAGCAAGAACCACCTCACTGAGCCCAGAAAATATGCAGAAAGAACCAGGACAGGGGGTGGGGGGGGGGGGGGGACAGCATGGGGGGGGCCACTGCTGTTGTTTTAAGCCACCACATTTGAGGATGATTCGCTACATGGTAATAGAAAAAGGAAGCAGACAGGTAACCAACTTTCCCCCCAGTGTCTCTCTATTGGGGAAATATTCTGCAGAGTAGTGATGTCTCCTTTGTGCCCAGTTCCATTAATGCAGCCACTTGATGATCTGAATGACATCATTCTGGGGGGACTCGTACGTTTCTTTGATAATTCGGCTTTGCATTCTCTGAAGTCATTGTTCTCACCAACTCTAAATTTAAGACAGCTGAATCAGGCCTCAATGGACTTGAATCAGCATGATGTTGCTCATGGCCATCTGGTACCCCTGGAGAGTGACCTCCTGGTACCCTGCTCACCTGAGAGTGACCTTCTGGTACCTTAGTGGCTTGGTGAGGTCAGTCTGGTTGAGGTGACATGAGCAAAAGCCATGAATGTGACTTCTTTTCAGGCCAGAGCATTTTGTGGCTGTTGCAAGCCCCTTCAACATCCCCCTCCTCTGTCACAGATTGTGGACACTTGCATTGGAATGGGGCATGCTTCACGAGCCAGGGGCTCTGGTGACACCACTGAGCAGAGTCCCTGCCCATCAGCTGGACATGTACTGTGAGCAGGAAATAAACTTAGTGGTTTGAGACCCTGAGATTCGGGAAATTATTTGTTTCAGCCACATAAACCTCCCAGATGTTGACAGATATCATAAAAATTACTGATTTCTTGAACCAAGGTTATGGTTTAGATATGAGGAGTCCCCCCAAAGCTCATGTGTGATAAAATGTGAGAAAGTTTACAGGTGAAATGATTGTTATGGGAGTTTTAACCTAATCAGTACATTAATCCCCTAATATTGACCGGGTGGTCACTGTAGGCAGGTAGCGTGTGGCTGGAGGAGGTGGGGTGTTGGGGATGTGCCTTTGGGTTCTATATTTTGTTCTTGGTGAGCAGAGCTCTCTGCTTTCTTGCGCCTTTCCCCAGCTGCTTTCCTGTCTAACATTCCCACCATGATATTCTGCTTTGCCTCAGGCCCAAAGGATGGAGCAGGCCCTGTCTGCACTGAGATCGCTGAAACCCCAGATGAGCTTTCCCTCCTTACAACTGTTCTTGTCGGGTCTTTTGATCACAACAGCAAAACAGCTGACTAAACAATAAGTAAGTGGAGAAGAGCGAGGTGGCCTCCAGGCAGAAGTGGTGCTCAGGCCCTGCAGGAAGCAAGATAGGCGTGTCCAGGAAACCACAGGCAACATGGTGGTAAGCGGTCCCTCTGGTCCCGGGAGTTGGACATCTAGGGGTTTTATTTGGGGGGTGGCAATTGGGGGCTAGCTCCCCCTTTGCTTATTCCCAGAGGAGGAGCCCCATAGCTTCAACTACCCTGAGGTAGACCTCGGCCTGGCTCCTGCTCCAGGCTGAGGTCTATCCAGCTGCACTCCCAGGTCGTGCTGCAGGCTTTGGGGGTGGTGGAGGTGCAGTGTGCTGCACTTCCTGAGGCTGGAGCGCCACAGCTCCCCTGGACAGCAGCTCTGCCCTGCTAGGCCCCTTGTTGCTCCCCACCCCTCTTGCCTTCCACCTTCTGCAGCCCCTCCGTGGCCATCTGGATACTCATTGGTTGGTGACTCTCAGCTACTAGGAGCGGCAGTGGCTAGGGTCAGCCACCTGGGCACACCTTCAGGGCAGGCCTCTCACCCCTGACTGCCCCATGTGGCCTCTGCCAGCTTGGTTCTCACCTTACCCTGATGGGGTATGAAGAGGGCTTGGTGGGGCTGGGACTTGGCATGAGGAGATCCTGGAGCCTGTTGTCACCCACGCCAAACCCTGGCCAGGGCTCTGAAGACCCAGAAGGAACTTGGTGGTTTCTGACCCCTGCATCCAGATCCACAGCAGCCTGGCCACCTGGGCACTGCCCAAAGTCCTAGGCCTGAGCTTTCCCCTTCTGTGTCCTGCTCTATAGCCCAAGCAGGATATGCAAGCTCAATCCCTGGCCATCAGCCGGAAATAGGACATCCAGGTATCTCTCAGCTGGGAACTTATCACATCTAGGGTGTTCATCAGATGCATCAAGTATTTGGTTATCAGTGACATGAAAACTTGACAAATACTTTGTAGGCAAGGAGCAGCAAGAGTTACAGACCGCTGCTCAGGCTCCTTCCAGACCTCAGGCTCCTCTTCTGGTTCTTCCTCATGACCCCAGTGTGGCTGCTGGGCCTCCAGGTAGGAAGCAGGGGAAAGTCAACTTTTTTCAATGGCCAGAAACAGGTCACACTCCAAATTGTGGAAGGCTGCATATATTTTTAATTGACCCAAGACAAATATGGGGTTCAGAGGTGAAGAGAGGATGGGACCTAGAGCTATGAGATGATCTCCATCTTTTTTTTTTTTTGGATACTTGGGATTGAACCCAGTGGTGCTTAACCACTGAGCCATATCCCCAGTCCCTTTACATTTTGAGACTCTGTTAAGTTACTTGGGGCCTCACTAAGTTGCTGAGGCTGTCTTTGAACTTTCAATCCTCCTGCCTCAGCCTCCCAAATCACTGGGATTACAGGTATGCACCTTCATGCCCAGCTCCCAAGTTCATCTTAAACTAAAACAAGAGTGCAGCATCTTCTAATGCCAGGAGTGCCCTGGTTGGATGCACGCAAAATACAGCTGGGCTGCCCAAGTTGTTCTGAGACCCAGGCTGGAGAGGTAAGAGCTGGGGCCCTCTTCTATAAAATTGTCTTGGTAAGTAATTGACTTAAAGGTTTGTGATGGCTCTAATCCCCCCCCCCCCCCCCCGCCCCAGTGCTAGGAATCAAACCCAAGGTTTATCAGCTGCCACTGCCAGTGTGGCCCCATGATGAGCTGTTTTTTTGTTTGTTTGTTTGTACAGGTGATTGAACCCAGTGGGGCTATACCACTGAGCTACACTCTCAGCTATTTAAATTTTATTTTGAGACAGGGTCTTGCTAAGTTACCCAGGCCAGCCTTGAACTTGTGATCCTCCTGGCTCAGCCTCCCGAGTCATTGGGATTACAGGCATGTGCCACTGTGCAGGGCTCCCACGATGGTTTTAAATCGCATCCCTCATTTCTTCACCACTTCCTAGCTGTGGAGCCTAACACCCCACCCTGGACCCTGGGGCCACCTTGATGAATAGGACAGAGCAGAAGACTTCCAAGGCTGACAGCGAAACAGCCTCTCTGATGCTCACACTGTCACTTGGAAAGCAGCCACTGTGATGCAAGGGAGCCACAGGGGGTGGCCGGGAGGGTGGACCCGCTGGCCAGTACTCCATGAGGTCTCTGCTGACTGCCAGCAGCAACCCCAGGTCTGCAAGGGATGCCACCACCACAGGAGAGACTGAGACCACCCAGCAGATCCCTGGCAAGCCCAGAGCACTGCAAGGGAACAAGGGCTGAGGTTACATAGGGATGGACAATGGGGACAGTGGTATGCACCTTCTTTTTTACTTCTTAGTAATACAATTATTTCCCTCACTTGCGCTTTACATAGATAATACAGGACCCTCCATGGGTTCCTGCTTTGAAACAGCACCTCCTGCCCAGGAAGGTGCCAAGGTGGCCATCCCATAGTTGCTGAAAAGTTTATTGCCGTCTTCTTATTCTACTACGCAAAACTAGAATATCTGTCTCTTAAAAGGAGCCCTGGTTAGAGGGGAGGGATCTACTACATTAAACGCAGCAGCAGCAGCTGGTTCAAGGGAGCCATTACTATAAAGTCGCCACAGCTGGGCTCCTTTGGGACCGCAGGCTCCTCACTAGGGCCCCCAGCCTGCTAGTGCCCTCCGCTTCTGGAGTCAGCTCGGCCCCGAGGGGTCCCTGCACCTGGAGGCAGATTCCACTGTAGATCCCCAGCTGGACACGCCGGACAAGTGGAGTTGCAGGGGCCTGGATGGTGACGTCACCCTGGGAGGTCCATCGTGGACCGCATGGGCATCCCTGTGGCTGTCCCTGAAGCAGGCAGGCCCTGCCCTGGGTTCACGGTGTGGATGACCACACGGGTGCTGGATGAGTGGGAGGGGCTGCTGGGCCCCGGAGTCTGGGAATCCTTGTCCACACTGTGGGCCATGCCAGCCAGTTCCCTGATGCCTTCGCTGAGGTCTCTGTGGGGAGAGGAGGCATGAGCTGGGGAGTGGATGGGGTTCAGCTGCACCTGCCCAGGTGGCCCGGTCTGGCCCTGTGATCTGCAGACTGTGGACCTGGGACGGACTGCTGTCCCCCAGGGCTGGGGAACACTTTCCTCCGCCTGAGCAGCCTGTTCCCTGGAGCACATGGAGGCTGTTCGTCTTCCTTACTGGACCAACTGGACAGGCCTCAGGTCCCTCCCCAATGTGGCCAGGGTGGGTCCTGGTCATCTTCCTAAGGGGTGAGAAGGTGCTTTCTGGGGCTTATTCCAAGTGCACAAACCACCAGGAGTCTGGCTGCCTGGTCAGGACCTGGGGACAGGGGACCAGGAGCATCCAGGGGAAGACACCTCCCTTCCTTCCAGGCCTGTCCCCTTTAGTGGCCTGGAGCTGGATCACTCACCTTCCACACCCTCAACGCCCTGTAGCTCCCAACCCCAAAACATAAGCTGAGGTATCCTTAGGCTGTTCTGAGCTGGCCCAGCCCCTTCTCCGGCCTCCCCACATGCCGGCCTTGCTCCCTGGAGGCTGGGGGCTGCCCTCGCCCCTTGCCGGTTGCCCTCTGCTGTCCCCCAGGGGAGGCTCTCCCATAGGCTGACGTTAGGCCTCACCTCCTCCAGGAAGCCTTCCCGGATCCCGTTCCCACCCACACTTGGTGCTTAGAAAAATTCCAGAAAGTGTTCAGAGTTAAGAAATAATGTAGTGGTCAGCGAATATGTAAATGGATCAATTAGTTAATAAGTAGAGAGGAGACAGCTTCGGGAGTGAGGGTGTAGACTTTGGACGGGCAGCCGGAGGTCCGACAGCTTCCCGCGCACTGGCCGTGAGACTCTGCACAAGCTGCTTAACCTCTCTGGTTCTTCACCTGTAACATGGAATAGAGTGGTGCCCACACCTAGGTGAGAAGCTGGCATCTGGAAGAGCTAGACTGTGTCAGGCACATTGCTGATGCTGGGCGGTGTTCACGACATGAAGCCAGGTCAAGGGGCAAGCCTGGCCTTGCTGGGACGGTCATGACCACCAGGTGGCCTGCCCTGACCTCATGGCCTCAGATCCAGAGAACCCTGCCTGGCAACCAGGGACAGGGACAGGGGTTTGGGGACTCTGCTTCCATCATGCCGTCCCTGGGAAGAAGCTGCCTTCTCTGAGTCCCCATTGAGCCTGGCCAAGTGCTCAGGGTGCCATGTGTGGGAGAGCTCAGGGGACGGTCTCTGCCCAAGTGTCCCCAAGACAACCTGCTCTCAGCTTCATTTCCTCCTTCCTGCCTCTTAAGCGACACTGACTGGAGCCAGCTGTCAGAGTGGCCCCCAATCAGAGAGGCCCTGTTCAGGGCTCCCCCACTCCTGGGGGATGGAACATAGTTCCCTACACAGCTCTGTGACTATCCTTGGATGAGGGGTATCTGTCTGACCCTAAGGCCTAAAAACTAGTGTCTGTGGGACAGGAACAGGCAGGTATGGCCCCAGCAGCACCCCTGGGAGTGCCTGGCCTCATGCTTTAGCCAGGGAAGCCAGCGGCCCTCGTCCAGGACACCATGTAGCCTTGAGAGCAGCAGCTCTTCCCCCCTTTCCTAATCAGGACCCAAGACGATCTGGTCACAGCTCTGAAATGGGGAGCAGGTGCCGCAGGGTAGAGGCAACAAAGAAATTTGGAACCAGCCTTGGCCACCTGATAATATAAAAAAGAAAATAGAGCCAGGCGCAGTGGCACACACCTGGAATCCCAGAGACTCGGAGGAGGAGGCAGGAGGATCAAGAGGTCAAGGCTAGTCGACCCAGTTATGTTACGTGCATGTACAGATATGTCCCAGTGAGTCCCACTGTTACGTATAATGATAGCACACCAATAAAAATCAATTTAAAAATTAGAATTAAAAAAATAAAAAGGGGGCTGGGGTTATGGCTCAGCGGTAGCCCGCTTGCCTGGCACGCGTGAGGCACTGGATTCAAGTCCCAGCACCACATGTAAATAAATAAATCAAGGTCTATCAACAGTTAAAATAATACTTTAAAAAATGGAAGGAAGGAAATTCACGGACAGCCAGGGCAACTTGGTGAGGTTCTGTCTCAACATAAAAAAGAGCTGGGAATGCAGCTCAGTGATGGAGGGCTTGGCCAGGCCTGGATTCAGTCCCCGGCACCACACACACACACACACACACACACACACACACTCAGCCCAATCCAACCAAGAAGGAGCAGAGCCTGTAAAATCCCTGTGGCCAGTTGGCAGGTCAAGCTCTGTCCATGACACAGACCTCCTCCTACTGGGGAGAAAGCCTGAACAGGTCACGCAGAGGAACCGAGAGGGAGCGACATCAGTAGCGCCCCTGGAAGGGGGGTTTGGAGGAAATATTCACCCTCCAGATGAAGCAAAGAAATGCCAATAAAAATGATCTGTAAAATTTATACCAGCTAAGGAGGCAGTAAACAAATCACTAGCTCTCAGTGAGGATGTGGCTTCTCAGAAAATATGACTGAACTAGCTTCTTCAGAGCTCTCAGAGAAAAATTTGGTGATAAAAATACACAGATTCTTTGGCCTAAATAATTGACTCCTGGGATCACCCTCAAAGATGTTGTTCAAAAGAGAGACTCTGCCAGGTGGGATGGCACATGCCTATAGTCCCACCTACTTGGGAGGCTGAGGTGGGAGGATCCTTTGAGCTCAGGAGTTTCAGGCCAGCCTGGGCAACAGAGAGAGACCCCAGCTCAAAAAACCAGAAACCAACCAACCAACCAACCAAACAACAACAACAACAAAAAAACCAGGCTTGGGTGGAGTGGCTTAATGATAGAGTGCTCACCTAGCATGCATACGCCTCTGGGTTTGACCCCCAGCACCATAAAATATAAAATTAAAAACAAAAAGAAAAACAGCTCTAAGCACAAAGACATTTACCCCCAATCTGACTATTCAGTAGGGGAGGAACTAACAGATGTTGGCCTTTGGCATAATAGGTAGCTATTAAGGAGGAGATATCTAATCAGGCACAACAGTGCATGCCTATAATCTCAGCAACTTGGGAGACTGGGGCAGGAGGATCGCAAGGTCAAGGACAGCCTCAACAACTTAATGAGACCTCAAGCAACTTAGCAAACAAGACCCTGTCTCAAAATAACTAAAGGGCCTAGGGATGTGGCTCAGTGATTAAGTGCCCCTGAGTTCCATCCCTGGTACCAAAGGGGGAAAAAAAAAATAAAGAAGAATGAGGTTTCTAGCCAGGTGTGGTGGTGCACACCTCTAGTCCTAGCTGCTCAGGAGGCCGAGCCTAGAGAATCACTTGAACCTCAGGAGTTCAAGGTCAGCCTAGGCAATATAGGGAGACCCTGTCTAAAAATACTAACACTATTAATAACAATGGGATTCCAAAGGCCTCAGACTACTAGGGTAAAGAGGAATGTGTCTTTAAGGAAAAAAGTTCACAGGTCAGTTTCTGACTCACAGGTGACCCTGAGGCTTCAGGGAAGGGCATGGGAAAATGGATCACTTCCCCGCAGGCACTGGCCAGGCTCAGCAATTACACAGAACACAGGAGCATGCGGGTCCCCACCCCAGTGCCTTGGTTTCCTCCTCTGCACAAGAAGGGCACAATGACGCGTACTCTCTGAGCTCTCAGCCTGGGGCAAGGAAGGGGCACAGCATGGTCCACGGTCATCTTGACAGCGCCAGGACACGGGCACTACCTGATCCTTGCCAGGCAAGGGAGCTGAGGCATGGAGCGCTCATCATGCGACCTAAGGCCACAGGGCTGGGAGCAAGCACTTTGCTGCCTCAGGAGACACAGGTGGGACAGAGAGCAGCTCCAAGCCAAGCACAGAAGGCACTAGAGAAGCCAGAACGCCCCGTGCAGGGCAGGAGGTGCTCGGAGAATGATGGGGCATATCAGAAGAACACGGCGCCGTCAGCACACTCCTCCCAAAGGACAACGGAGCCCACGGGAAGCGTGAGGAAAAGGAGGGACAAATGGCAGCCCCAGAAAGCAGGAGGTGGGACAGGAGATTGGGGACAGCCTTCTCTCTACTTTTGTGTACTCGTGGTATTTTCTCATGATGCACGTTCTGGAACAGAATATCCTACGAGTTCAAAATGATACTAAAGTAACACAATGAAAAGGAAGGAAGGATTAAAAAAAATAATAAAATAAAATCTCACGGTTGCTCTCCTCGAGACACAGCACAATCACACTCAACAAAGGCAGCCTTCTGCAAGAGCAGAATCCAGCAGGGTCACCCCTGGACGCGGAGCCCACGCCCCTCTGCTCCTACATCATGCCTGGATGATAGAGGGACGTGGGGGACTCGCCTCAGCCAAGAGACCCTAGTCTCGTTCCCCACGAGGGCAGCCTGGCCCTGTCAGCACACGTAGCGTCCAGGCCACAAGTGCAAACCCTGCAGCGGGGTGTGAAACGCCAGAGGGATGCAGATGGGTGGTCTCGAGACTTCAGAAGTCCACACCACATGGGAGAAAAAGCCTGTCCCAGTTTAAGGAGCCCAGAGAGCTGGTGGCCAAGTGCTGTATGTGATCCTGGAGCTCAGGACGGTGCCGGAATGCCAACAGCCAGGTGTGGACGCCCTCTACCTAGCAGAGGTCAGGGCCAGCGTTCTGGAGTCAGGAAAGGAAATGGACTTGTACTGGTTCAGAGAAAAAAAAGAGTGTGATGTGTACTGAGAGAGGAAGAAAGGGAAGGGAGGGGAAGGGAGGTGGAGGGAGGTGGAGAGAGGAGTAGCACAGCGCAGAGCCCTACGAGCGTCTGCAATCCTGGAGGTCTGAATTCTCAAGAGACACAGTGTGGGGGGCAGTTATGAGCACCTGCAGGTCCCAGCTGCTACAGAGGACTAGAATGACCCCAGCCTCTTGTTTTAGGGTTGGGAGCTGAGGCCCGGGACCTGCACCCCCTACCCGCCCCATGCCTATGGACCCAGGCCACCCACGTGGTGAAGCTGTGGTTGTCGTGCGCCTGGCTGGGATGGCTCCTGGGTTTGTGGCTGCTGCTGTTGTTCTGGTTGTGGACCTTGAGGCCAAGGTACGCAGCCTGCACCGTCTCCAGATCCTCGCCCCTCAGCTGGTGCCATAGCTGCGCCATCCTAGAGGAGAGAGTTCAGGGTAAAGGACACCGAGCAGCCACTCTTGTCCCCGACAGCAGTACACACGCAGAGGTGCGCTCCACACAAGTCCAGGGTGCACCTCCGTGCAGCTGGACAAAGTTCTGGAAGAGCCGGGCAGGGCTTATCTGAGGGCTGCAGGCCACACAGCTTCTCCTGCAGCTGAGCTCACCACAGCCGCTCAGAAGCAACCAAGAGCGGCAGAGGAGGAGAGTGGCCTGGTCCAAAACCTGGTGGTAGAAAGTTCTAGCACTGGACAGCACCGATGGCTGCAGAACACCATTAGTGTCCTTAATGACAGCTAAGAGGCGACTTTCGTGTTATGTGTATTTTACCCACAATAAAAAAATTACAAACAAGAAAAGAATTACTGTGGGGAGAAAGAAGAAAGCCTTGGGAGGGCCACCCTTCCCCTGTGGGCTGTGGCTGACGGCCAGTCTGTGGGACAGTGAGCCCTGCGGGAGGTGGGAGGTCCCCGGGCCACCAGGCTGCCGTACCTGTTGGAGCGCCGCTGCTGCTCACTCTTCTTCACGCACTTGAGGAGGCAGCAGGTGAGAAAGGCCACAGACATGAGCAGGATGATGGCACAGCTCACGATGGAGGCGATGACTGCCACCTTGAAGCCGAAGGCCTCCTGGGGCGGCACAGCTGGAGGGGAGACAACCACCAGCTCCTGGTGCGGCTCTCCCAGACCACCAGGCCCAGGATGGGTGCCAGAGGTGGACAGAGCCTGGCTGGCCCCCAGGGAGCCCCACTCTGGGGCAGGCAGGGAAGTACCGGTGGCTTGAGACAAAGGTCCATGCAAACTGTATCGGGGGTGGCACCAGAGAAGACTTTCCCCAAGGAGGAGCATTTGGGCAGGGTTTTGCAAGATAGCCAATTGGAAAAGCTCTGACAGGGACTAATGACCCCCTGGACTCCTACCCTTCTGCAGAGCAGAAGGGTGGTTTGGCACAGACATGATGGCGGACACAGCCTCGGTGAGGACCTGCCCAGCCCACTGCCCGAGTTTCCACAAAGCTCCAAGCAGGCAAGACTCTTCAGGGGCCTTCTCAAGTCACTTTCCAGGAAAGGGCAAAAGCAAGAAAAATGCCCATCAGTGGGGTCAAAGGTCATTCACACACACATGAGCCGTGTGACCTCAACTATGCACTGAGTACCAGTTTCATCAGATTCTAAGGGAAGTATGGGGAAAAGAGGTCCCAGGAATCTAATTTGTACCCTCCCCTGACAGCAGACATGGCTTGGCTCCTGGTCCAGTTCCATTTCCCCTACTCGCTAGCTGGACACTGCCCATCCAGAGTGAAGACTCCACCCACAGTGCTGACATGACCATGTTCTGGCCAGTGGGGGACAGAGGCAGTGACCAGGACAACTCCCAAGAATCTTCTCTGAAATATGGGGGAGGATGCTTTGCTGCTAGGAACCCCCTCACCCCCAAAATCCTGCCTGAAATAACTGCTGTGACACTGGGTCACAATGCTGGGGCCATGCCCAACATAGCCACCAAAGGGCAGGGTCCCCGGTCCCACAGAGGTGGAGCATGCTCCAAGCCTGGCCACCCATCCCCACAGTGGAAGCACCTCCTTGGTGACAACTGTTATTTTGGGTTTTTTGCCTCTTGGAGTCTAATCCTAAGAGACACCCCTCTTTCTCAGAGATCTAATCAGCCCACGAGGGTAAAGGCCCTGACAAGTCCTGCAGAACATCCGCCCAGCTTCTGCCCAGCTGTTCTGCCTCTGAGACTCGAAAGTCATTTTTACATACAAAGCACATTAACAGAACCTTCAGGGCTTCCATTTGGAGAAGCCGTGCAGGGCCAGCAGTGCTGTCTCGTTAACCTTTCAACACCCTGTTCAACAACCATAACCAAAAACTAAACAAACGACCCTTCCCGGGACTGGGTGCTCTGGGGTCAGGTACTTCCTGTCCTCTGTGTTCTCGGTACCTAGAATTCTTGGCATGTGGCACATCCTCTCGGAGTGTGCCACATGCATGCAGAGAGGAGGGAATGGACGAACACAGCTTCCTGTCTCACAGACGATAAAGTGCCAGCTCCAACAGCACACACGGCCCCTTGGTGGCAGGGGCACAGCAGTGGCACAGCAGTGGCAGAGCCAGGATCTGAAGCCAAAAGATAGGACTGGAGTCCACGCTGCAGGTGGGGAGCTGTGAGGGGTCTCCAGGCCACTGCCAAGCCACATGCCACGCAGGGAGCAGTTCCCAAGCATGGACCCAGCCTGGGTCCCTGTGACGGGCTTTAGGCCCCCACTCTGGGCAGCTGCAGGGTTGGGGTGGCTCAGGAGGGAGGAGGGTCTTACACTTGCACACGGGGGTCCGCGAAGACCAGTCGGCGATACTCCCCTTCCAGGCACAGGTGAGGAGGCCGGAGCCCACCATCTGGTGGCCCGAGGGGCAGTGGAAAACGACCACAGTCCCCACAGAAGCGCCATCGCCACGGAGGATTTGCAAGGTGCCCTTTGGGGGTGGCTGCAGCTGAGCACACGTGCCTAGGGAGAGAGACAGCTGTGAGGAGCAAGGGCAGCACTTGGTGGGGGGGCGGCATGGCGTTGCTGGCAGAGCTGGGGTGCTGCAGCCCACTGTGGGGTGGCGGGAGATCCTCCAAGGGTTGCAGGAAGCTGGAGAATCACATGGGGCTCCCAGCTAAGGGACAAAGTAGAAGTGGACCCTGCATTAAAGACAGTCTGTGTATTCTAAAGAAACAAGCATTAGACAATACAGGAAAATACACAATTATCACCTAAGTGCCCTTCAATAGATGAATGGATTAAAAAATGTGGCATTTATACACAATAGAGTATTACTCAGCACTAAAAAATGACAAAATCATGGAATTTGCAGGGAAATGGATGACATTAGAGCAGATTATGCTAAGTGAAGCTAGCCAATCCCTAAAAAACAAATGCCAAATGTCTTCTTTGATATAAGGAGAGCAACTAAAAACAGAGCATGGAGGAAGAGCATGAGAAGAAGATTAACATTAAACAGGGACGAGGGGGGGGGAAGGGAGAGAGAAGGGAAATTGCATGGAAATGGAAGGAGACCCTCATTGTTATACAAAATTACATATAAGAGGATGTGAGGGGAAAGGGGAAAAAAATCAAGGGAGAGAAATGAATTACAGTAGATGGGGTAGAGAGAGAAGATGGGAGGGGAGGGGAGGGGGGATAGTAGAGGATAGGAAAGGCAGCAGAACACAATAGTCACTAGTATGGCAATATGTAAAAACGTGGATGTGTAACCAATGTGATTCTGCAATCTGTATACGGGGTAAAAATGGGAGTTCATAACCCACTTGAACCAAATGTATGAAATATGATATATCAAGAGCTTTGTAATGTTTTGAACAACCAATTAAAAAACAACAACAACAACAAAAAACAATTATCACCTAAGTATAGTTCAAAGGCAGACAGCAAGGAAAGAGAGGAAGCTGGGCACAGTGGTACACATGTGTCATCCCAGCGACTCAGGAGGCTAAGGCAGGAGGATCGCAAGTTTGAGGCCAGCCTCAGCCACTTAACAAGACCCTGTCTCAAAATAAAAAATTTAGAAAGGGCTGGGAATGCAGTTCAGTGGTAAAGCACCCTTGCGTTCAATCCCTAGTACCAAAGAAGAAAGTCAATAGATCAATAGATTTGACTGCATAAAAAGTAAAAGGCGAAGCTGAACTCCCTAATCATTGAAAAACAAATATCAACTCATGAAAAATTAGGAAAAGATATTTGGAAAACAGGACGAAGTTTCAATATCCTTAATTTGTAAGAATCTTACACATCAATAAGAGCCAAACACACTTTTTTTTTTTTTATGAACTAATATGTGAACAGCAATTGACAAGAGAAACAAATGGCCAACAGGCACGAAAACATGCTCACCCACACAGCCTTCGAAGAAATGCTCATCCAAATGAGATCGAATCTTTGCCTTATCAAGCGGCAAAAGTTCAAAGAAACAGGGCTGGAGATGTGGCTCAGTGGCGGAGCACTTGCCAAGCCTGTGCCTGGCTCTGGGTCCCATTCCCAGATCCGCACAAACAAATATAAAAATCAGTAAGTAAAGAAAAACCAATCATGTACATCAGCCAGGGCTGGGAAGGGGCTCCTCTTAGATCGGGGTCAGATCCCAACCTGTCTGGACAGAGCCTGGTAAGTGTGTCCTAGGTCTGTGCTGTAGACGCCCGTGAGAACTTAGCCAAAGGCATGAAGAACTTTCTGCCAAGACTCTGTATCAGGACACTCCCCTCAGAGCTACCAGGAACAGTGAAAAATTAGAAATTATGTCTCTAGCTGTAGTCACTGATTTATGAATCAAGGTACAAACAGGCAATCCTACAAATATATAGGCAACAAACGGCTACAAAGTGTTTACCATGATACATAGGCACACAGGAAGCCTGGCACGCTGTTGAGTGCTCAGTCCCCATTACTTGGGAGGACTGCTTGAACCCAGAGTTCAAGGCCAGCCTGGGAAACACAGCGAGCTCCAAGTCTTTAAAAAAAAAAGGACACAGAGAGATGCTCTGGATGCAGCAACCCCCGGATTTTTTATGAAACAGTACCAATAACGAAAGTTGGCACTTCCAAGGGACTTCGTGTGCTGCACACTATTGTACATGTACTAACCCATCCACAGGACGACCATCTTCCCAGGGAGACCCACCCTTATTCCCATGTGAAAAAACAAGCAAAACGATGGGGTGTGTGTGTGTGGGGGGGGTGTTACTTCCTGAGGTCACACAGCTCACAGTCACAGGGTGGACTCAGAACCACAGAAGGGGGACCCATGTAACTTCTCCGTATGCATGCACACAGCATGTGCCCTTCTGTCGGTTTCTCTCTCCCTGCACGATGCACCTGAGACTTATCACTTCCACGTGGACCGGCAGCTGGGCCCTCCTACTGCGGCGCAGGGCTCTGCTCTGGGGATGAAACGTTTCCCTGTTCCCTGCTAACCGGCACAGGTGTCTCCTCTATGCTCGGGAATGCTCAGTGAAACCGCTAAGGATGTCCCAAGCAGTGCCCAAGTGCAAGAGGCTCTTCTTTCTGCTATCTCCTGAGTTTCTGAGCATTGACGGAAGAGGCAGCCTGTGACAAAGGCCACCTGAGCACCTTTGTGGCTGTCTGCCTCCCTTCAAGCAGACAAGGACAGAGACCCAGACATGGGCTGATGGGGCCCATCTTCCATGCTGATCTGCTGTGACCTTCTTCTATCCTGTGCCTGATGCCCCCAGCTAGGACCATCCCCTGGGGGCCGGGCACACATGTCCCATTGAGCCTGATGTCTGGGAAGCAGTGGAAGCCTGGTTCAGGACTAACACAAACACCGCATGCTAATGAATGCTAGTTTGTATGACAGCCCTATAATTCCTCCTTATAAGCACAGCAAGGCTGAATGACATCCCAAGGGCACTGGGCAGGGAGACAGCAGGAATAGAATTGGTACCTCACATATCCACTGAGGGAACCCACTCCAGCTTGAGCTGGGCACCCTCAACCACTGCTTCCATCCCTGGCTATGGCTGCCCACCAGTGTCCCTTCTCCTCACCCCACAGTTGCAGCTGGGGACAAGGCTGCCATAGAAAACTACACTTCCCAGCTGCAAGTAGCCATGTGACAGTGCCTGGCCAATGGGATATAAATATGGGTGTCTATGGCCACTTCCAGGCTGGGAAGCAGAGATGTGTGGAAGGGTTGACCAACCTCTCGGATCCTAATAAGAGACAGAAATAAACTCTGGCTGGAGTTAAGCCACCATCTTTGTGGTAAAATCTGAACAAAGCTTCAGGAATAGTTTATCCCAGTGCCCTGTTGAGTATCTGGGACTTTGCCTGGCCACCCAGGTCTCTGAGGAGACAGTGATAATAAAATCAAAATAACACCCAGATTATACTCTGACAGGGGCTGAGTGCTTTGGTGGCTAGGGAAACAAGCATGTGAACTCGAGACTGTGGGGCTCTGAGTTCTGCAGGGCCACAAAAGTGGGGGCCCAGATAAAGAAGTCCCCTGGGCCTCGTGGGCACAACAGCTGCTTGCCCACGTCAGGCTGGTATAAGGAAGGAATGAGGTGAAATGCTGAGGCATTTTCAAGGTCCCTAGAACACCAGGTCAGGAGCCCTGGGGATCTTTGGAAATAAGGTATGCCATCTAATTTTACAGCCCTAGACACCAAGGTTCAATGACACTGAGGCCACATAGTCACTGGTTGAGCAAGGGATCAACTGCAGTAGTTGAGAGTCAATCACTGGAAGCCGCCATCTTGTATGTCCCTTCAGTATCTAGGGAAGGCTGAGCTTCCAGTCTGGCAGGACCAATCTGATGGTTCCTTGCTCATTATCAGCATTACTATCAACAACAACACGTCTGCACAGAATACTGTGTTCAAAACACATCCCCCATTCCTTGGCTCAGGCAGCACTCATAACAATCCCAATAGGGAACATTGTGGGATTCAAAGTCGACATAGAAAAATTAGTTGTGTTCCTGTAAAGTAGCAATGAGCAAACTGAAAGTGAAAGAAAGCAATTTCATTAAAAAAAAAAAAAAAGCAGTAGAAACAATTATGTGGGAGTTAATTTAACAAAAGAAGCACAAGTTAGACTCTGAAAACTACAAGACATTGTTGAAAGACATTCAAGAAAACCTAAATAAACGGAAAAACATCCCACACTCATGGATCAGAAGACTGAATATTATTAAGATGGTAATACCCTCAAAACTACAGTTTCAACACAACCCCTGTCAGAATCCAGCTGCCATCTTCGTGGAAATTGACAAGCTGGTCTGAATATTCATATGGAAATGTAAAAAAGACTCTAGAATAACCAAAACAACCTTGAAAAGGAACAAAGTTGGAAGATTCACTTCTCAATTTCAAAACTATAAGGACAGACCAACAGAGCAGTTCGGCAGAATTGAAATAAACCCTCACGTTTACAGTCATTTGATTTCACCATCAGTGCCAAGACAAAATAATTGGGAAAATAATAGTTTTTCAATAATCGGTGCTTGGCAAACTGGATATTCTCGTTCAAAATAATGAAGTGGGACCCCTACCTCACACCATATGCCAAAAAATAACTTTAAAATGAATCAAAACCTAAATGCAAGATCTAAAACTATAAAACTTCAAAGAAAACCTAGGGTACATTTTTTTGTGACTTTAGGCAATGGTTCTTAGATATGACACCAAAAAAAAAAAAAAATGCAAGGGAAAAAAACTGGACTTCATAAAAATTAAAGACAGTGTTCTGCAAAGAACACAATGAAGTGAAGAGACAACCTCCTGATTGGGAGGAAATATCTGCAAATCACATATCTGATAAGAGATACATCTCAAGTGTATAAAGAATTATTACATCTCAATGATAAAATACAAAGTTTTAAAATGAGCAAAGGATCTGAACAGATATTTCCTTAAAGAAGATACACCAAAGCCACCAGTAAGCACATGAAACAATTCTCAACATTAGCCTTCAGGGAAATGTAA